TTATTCTATTATTATATTTATTATTTTTTTTTTTTTTTTTTTTAAAAAAAAAAAAAAAAAAACGATGTAAGAAAGTAATATGAAAAACAAACAACAAAAATATTTAGAATTCAATGTAGTTTCAATTCGTACCGGCATTCGCCAGACGGCGACAGTTGTCATGGGGCCGACATATTTAGGGCATCTTACTAAAAGAAATAGAACAATAAAACAATTATTAAGTCAATTGATGTGTGATTGATATTAATGTGAATAAAAGAAAAAAAAGAAAAAGAATATAATTATTCATTTAAAAATAAAATACCAAAAAAGAACACAACCAACCCAATTTTAATACTAAATATACCAGAGATTAGTCATTTTGACTAGTTGGGCCATATGAATTCAAAATTTCTACTTCATTTCTGTAAATAACTTAAAGATGTCTATAAATTCATTTATCTATTACAATTATTATTGTTAAACATTTTTAATTATTTTTTAAGAGTAAATAAAGACTAGAAGCAAAGCTCAAAAAGCATTTCTTTTTTTTTTTTTTTGTATACACCAGTCATTTTGACTAGTGTGGTAGGAACTGCAGCAGTCAGTCACATTGATGAACAGTTAGGAATGTCTTCAGAATATTTGAAAGTATTTCTAAGTATCTCAAATAGAAAATCGAGGTAACCAGAATGAAAGATGGAGAAAGTATGTATAAATAAGTGAGAACGTTAAAGGGAGATAGAAATAAAGAAACGCCCTTCCGGTGTGTGTAAGTAAGTAAGCAAGTAAGAATAGTGTGTGGACGACGACGCTCTCAGGGCAACTGCGTTAACGGGAAACGAGGGAGATGGTGAACGAATGAATTAGAGTCTCTCTCTATATTTCTCTCTCTTTCTTTCATAGAGTAAAACACAGATCCACATACACACATGTACAAAAGAGAGAGAGAGAGAGAGAGAGAGAACACACACGTTTCTTCTTTTCCCTTCGATCCCACCGTTTTCCGCGTGCGATGCGGAAGAGGGGGAAAAGTCTAAGGTCGCGGCGTTAGGGTTTATGCGGTGGGGGTTGAGTAGGGTGTCAGGGGAGTAAAGGGAGGATTGATTGAGTTTGGTGGGGGGTAGGAGAAAAAGAGGTAAAAGAAGAAGAAGAAGAATAAGGTGGTAGTGGTGAGCTAGAGAAAGAGAGAGAGAGAGAGAGGTGGATAAGGATGATGATGATGAGGAAGAGGTGGTGGTTGTGGTGGTAGGGTCGGAGTAGATAGGAAGAGGGGGTGGTTAACGGGTGGTGGAAGAGAGGAGGTTAATGTAGTGGGGGTAGATTGGGCGCGGCCTAGGACAGGGGCACACACCGTGCGCACAAGCGTATAAAGTAAGATAGTGTATGTGTTCACATATATTTCTCTGTATGTGTTGCAATAAATGTATGTATGGGTTCGCGTATGCGCGCGCGTATGTATATGCGATATAAAAATATAATATCAGTGTCGAAGCCGCGCGCTTTCTCGGGAAGGCTGCTATCATTCGCCGGTTAATATAAGTAAAAGTACACAGGGCACAGTTAGCACGGTGTACGGTGCGCGGTACAGCACAGTTACAGTACTGCACAGTATACAGAACAGTACAGCACAGCACGGTGCTCTGTTCTTTAAGGTTAAACTGGTGTATGTATTACGTGTTGTTGTATGTATAGATATATATATATTCACGTTGCGCGCTTCCTTCTAAATTCTTTCTTTTGTTGTTTGCGTTTCGTGGAAACATTTGGGGTACCCCTGGTATTGGTGGTGATCTCAGTTATAGGGTAGTGTGGTGGTAGTAGTTTGCTAGTGGGTAGTAGTGGTTATGGTTATGTGCTACTAGTGGTGGTTATGGTGATATAGTGTTTTGTGTGTGTGTGTTGTAAGGGTTTGTGCTTGCGGATAGGTGAGCTCGATATCCCAGAGGATCTCTCTCTCTTTCTCTCTCTCTCTCTTTTTCTTCAGAACTCCGCTTACATGGGCCATTGATCGTCCTACAGTTGTAGTTATGATCGCGCCCAGTTATATATATATATATATATATAGAATACGCATAGATAAATAGATTAATAGATATTCAATTTATTTAAACTATATCGCTGATTCTTAATTGAAAACCAACAATCAGACATGTTAAAAGATTCAAATATGCCGCTTTTTTACAATTTGAAAAAAATAAAATAATTCTATTATTCTTTTTATCTAGAGTTATTCATTGAGGGTAATTAAAATTGTAAGGGATGAAATGACATAATTACGCTTTTATAAGAAGGAAATATATATGATGTGACCTGGCACGCAACGCTGAGATTGATCCACGTGCGTGCTTGAATTCGCGCGCCCGCGCGAAAACAACTTTATCTCAAATACTTTGTACTTAAACGACGTCCCTTAATAATCTCCCTCTTCCCATAAAATTATTAAAAAATTATTCAAAGTGCTCCCTCTCTTTTTCTTTTATTATCAAAAAATCTCGCACATAAAATATATCTTACAATTAGCCAATAAAAACGAAGTTTGAAGTAAATCTTCAAATGATTTTACTCGGTTGATAAAGTTGTTCCGCAAAGTTACACGCACCCAGGGACAAAATAGAAAGAACCAACAAGTAAAAAGAGAAAGATAAAACAAGATAGTTAGATAGATAGATAGATAGATAGATAAAAAGATAAATATATACGAGGTAGGAAGAAAGAAAGAAAAGAAGGAAGGAGAAGAGGGTGGTGGAAAAAGGCAGAGCAAAGGAAGGCGGCAGTGGCGCCGCGGTGAACGGTAAAAGGGTGGAGGAGGTGGAGGAGGAGGAGGTGGTGGAAGAATAAGAGAAGGAGGAAGGTGGTGGTGGTGGTGATGGTGAAGAGGGTGGTGGAGAAGGAGAAGTAGGAAGATTCACTATCTCACTCTCTCTTTCAAGTAGTAGCCACTAGAATCGTCTTCAACCTTGTCAACGTTGTTGGTTTACAGAACTAGTGTAGTAGTAGTAGTAGAAAGCTGTCGRAAGAGAAAGAGAGAGAGAGAGAGTGAGAGACTAAGTGGTGGTGAAGTGGGGGGTGGGAAGTTCGAAGCTGCTCCACCCGCACGAGTTTCCCTACGGTTCTTCGTTCGTACGTTCCGTTCGTTCCGTTCATTCGTTCATTCGCTCACTCGCTCGTTCGTTCGTTCGTTCGTTGGTTCCATTCCGTTCCGTTCGTCAATTGGGAGAGTGGGAAAGGGAAAGGGAAAGGAAAAGGGAAAGGGAAAGGGAAAGGGAAAGGGAAAGGGAAAGATAGAGATAGGCGGAGAAAGAAAAAGAGTGTTGTGTGTATATGTGTGTATGAAAAGAGAACTCGGCTCCTTTCTTTGTTGCTTCTTCCTAGTTCACTTCAAGATTGTGATAATACTCGTAAAGTTCATATTTTCTTCAATTATCTCATCTTTTTGTTATCTTAATAACAGTTATATCTTGTGAGATATATAGATACATATTTGTATGTATTTTTAAAAGAAGAGAAATACGAAGAAAAAGAAGCAGAAGCAGAAGAAGAAGAAGAAGAAGAAGAGAAGGTAAAAGAATATAATAAATAAATAAATATGAATAAAGAAACATCAACAACGTTTCAATACTAAAGGACACAACGAATACATATTATTGTCTTTGTAACACACAACTAAGAACATGTATTATCGTTATAATTATTATATTCTATCTTCCATCTAGTCATCCGCGTTTTTAACGGAAGAAGTTTTACTTGAAAGTGTGAAACGAACAAACAAATAAAAAGACAATTAGTGACTGATCAAGATATATATATATATATATATATATATATATATATATAAAATTTGAAAAATTGGGGAATATTTGAATAACATTTACTTATATGTTTATAAAAAAAAAAAGTGTGAAAATCGGAAGAGAGGACGCTACTGTACTGTGTGTCAGTTAGATCACAGTGCGCATTGTTTCCTATAAATATACACACGCTTTACGTTTAACATCGAGAGAAAAAGGAATATAAACAAAGGAAAAAAAAAAAAATATATATATATATATGTAAAGTTTTCATCTTGAAAACTTTCGTGATTTACGAAAGGAAAAAAGAAAGATAGAAAGAAAAAAAAATCATTTCGATTGGATTTAGTTTAGTGTGTATCATCGTCACATAAACTCTTCCGTGTTTGTGTTGGTCATCACTTTTCTTCTTCATTTGTGTATTCTCAAGTTCGGTTTCGTTTCGTTTCGTTTCGTTCCCGCGTTCGGTTACGAATAGAGAAAGAAAGAAAAAAAAAAGAGAGGGAGTGAGAGATTAGGGGAGGAGAAAACGAAAGAAAGAAAGAAAGAGGAAGAGTGAGAGAGAAGGAGAGAGGAAAGGAGGGGGATAGAGATAGAAGAGAATACTGAGTTCGTGTTTAGTGTCACGGTGTGTTAATCTACCTCAGTGGGATTTGTCGACAATCAACAGAGCTAGACCAGCCTCAAAGCTGACGAGGAACACTGCGACTTGAGAAAACTTCAGTTGGGAAATCTCCTGCCTCGTGGAAACATCTCCCAATTATTCTTGCCCTTTACGAAACTAAGTTGTTACGCCCAAGTGCTTCGATCATATATATATAGTATATATATAATATAAATATATATATATATTAAATTAAATTAAATAAAATTAATTATTTAATTTTATAATACCGCGAGGAGATTAATATAATTATATTTTTGTTATTTTTTTTTTTTTTTATTATTATTTTTCATTTTTTTCATTTTTCGTGAAAATTATCATCAACGTGAAGAAAAGTGATTCTTGAAAGAAGACAAGTTGAAGTTTAAGTGAGAAGGAGGAGGAGGAGGAGGAAGAGGAGGAGGAGGAGGAGTTAAGATACTCCTGATTTAGTTCCTCATTTTTATTATTTTTTTTTTTTTTATGTGTTTCTTCAAATTTTTTAATTTTTAATTTAAGTGAATTTGATTATTTGATTCGAGTTATTTGAATTTAACTTGAAAAGTTAATTATATTGATTAGTGAAGAATAAGAAGAAGAAAATAAACAAATCAAAAATGGCGCTCGAGAGATTTTCAGACAGTGATTTACAAAAAGAAATTGACCGATTGGAAGTTGAAGATAAAGGAGACGGCCAAAGGTAAGTTTTTTTTCTTTTTTTTTTTTTTCAAACAAATTCGTACTAAAATTTATTCGAAATGATTCTTCCTTTTTTTTTTTTTACCATTACAACCATAATTAATAATTATTCTTCTTATACATGAAATTATTTTTGGATGGTATATTTTCTAAAAAGTATATTATGAAAATTATTCTTCAACAAGTTCTTTTCTATCTAATTATTATCTCTTATTATCTAAATCATCATCTAAACGGTTTCTATGTTTATCCGTTTATATTTAAATTGTTTATTTGCTTGTTTATTTTTTTTTTATTTTATACATGTGCCCCTTCCGTTTCTCAAATTAGATAGAAAATTTGTCACAGTTTTACTATAAACATTTAAGCCGTTTATTTACTTATATTATATACATACATACATATATATGTACATATATATATGTATATATATGTACATCGGGTTTATAGGAAAGTTCATGCTAAAGGTCATCGGTAGAAGTTTGATTAAATTATTACGAAATTAGAAAGAGACGGATGTGAATATTCGAAAATTTGGTTGTTCATGCAAAATCAAATATTTTCATTTGATTTATATTTTAGAAATAATTTGTTGATTTTATTCTTACCCTTAATTTGTTTCTTCCCCTTTCTTTTGTCTTATAAAATAGTATAATACATTGATATAAAGTAAAATAAAATTTAAAAAAAAAAAAAAAGGAAAAAAGGAAAATGAATTTGTTATTTTGAAATTGCGAGAAAGTGAGAAATTAATTTTGACGAGAGTAGTATTTAGTAGATTTATTTTTTGTTTTTCTTTTCTATTTCTCTTCTCTTCTCTTCTCTTCGTTTTCTTTTCGTTTTCTTTTTTCTCTTTTACTTGCTCGATCGGTAAACGATAAACATAAAGCAAAGCGAACGTTGAACTCATTCGAGGTCGCGTCTTTCGTTGGGAACTTCCTCGTGTCATTTACTAAACTTTCGTTTATCTCTTTTCCTATTACACGTATCTGTATTTGTATATTATTTATATATATATGAAGATGTAAATGTAATGTCTCTCTGCAAAATATAAAATCTCTTTCTCTCTCTGCAGTATTAAAATATATTATTAAGTATATTTTTTATACGTAATAGTATAACAAGTATTCAAATAATAAATAAGTAATAAATTAAAAAATATATTAAAGTAAAAAAAAAAAAAATGAGTAATAAATTAAAATATATTAAGCTAATAAAAAAAAAATTATAAAAATAATACAAAAGTATTGAAATAATATATTACTAAGTGTATTATTTTATAGTTAATAGCACAAGTATTCAAAAAAAAAGTAATAAATAAGTAATAAATTGAAATATATATAAGTAATAAAAAAAATTATAAAAATAACACAAAAGTATTAAAATAATATATTACTAAGTGTATTTTTTTTATAGTTAATAGTATAAAAAGTAATAAATTGCAAAAGTAATACAAATGTATTCAAATAATATATTATTAAGTATATTTTTTATACTCAGTAGTATAAAATATATTAAAGTAATAAATAAATAATAGATTAAAATATATTATAATATGATATATTATTAATTATATTTTTTATATTACGAATAACATGCGAAAGGGGGATATAATAAAATAATATATTATTGAAATTATATTTTTTATATTACAAAATAAACATGGGGTTAGGGAAATTATAAAATTATTAATATATATATATATACATACATATATTATTTTTTTATTTAATTTTATATTTAAATAATTTTATAATTATTTTTTATATTACGAAAAATAAACTAAAGAAAAAAGGAATGAATTATATTACTAAAAAGGAATTTTAATTTTTTACGTATAAAAATTATTATTTTTCTTTTCTTTTCTTTTTTTTTTTTATTACAAATTTTCATTACCTTTTGAATTGTATGCGCATGTATATATGTATGCGTGTTTGTTAAGTACGTGGGCTAAGTTTAAGTGTATTCGTGGGTGTTTTTCTAAGAATTATCAAATTGTAAGTATCTTCCGTCGTTTGTATCAGTTTTTTTCGTTATCATTTTATTTCGTTGGTTTAGATAAAAAAAAAAAAAAAGAAAAAAAGTAGTAAGAGTAAAAAAGTAGAACAGAAAATACGAGAATTGTTATCAGTTCTCATGAAGGAAGAATTTTTTTTTTTTTTTACTAGTTTGTCTAGTTTCTAGCTGATTCATTCAACAACAAAAAATTTTTATATTTGTGTAGCATTGGAATATTACAATTCTTTTTTTTTTTTTTTTAAAGAATTATTTAAAATTAGAATTGTATGAAATTATTGAAAATTTTTGTTCATACGATTAATTTGGAAATAAATGAATTTTTTTTTTTTTTTTTTTTTTA